TGGACATGAGTAATAAATTTATTTCTAATAACTTACGGCATTTAAAATTCCTAACAATAAACAGAGATAATAATTTTATTTCTAATAATTTATGGTGTCTAAAATTCTGAATAATAGACGAGGACAATAAATTTATTTATGATAATTTCCGGTATCTAAAATTTTTAACAATAGATAAAAATATTATAATTTTATTATAAAACAATTATTTTTTAAAAAAATAAAGTCACTTACACATAATCGTCATTAAGATATTGACGCGCTGCTACAGCTCTCAGCTTCTTGTACTTTTCTCTGATTTTCTTAACCTCCTGGACAACAGCCTCTGTATTGTCCCTCGACTTGAGTTGCAGGTTCAACAATTAAGAAAAATGCAGTCCAAATAAACTAAAACGGGTTCTTGACCAAGCCTGCTCCATGGGACCTAGAGCTTAATAGACCCAAGAATTCCAGCCTTGACTTTTACTGGCAGCTTCAAGGGATTCAGAACTACCGACTTCAACTGCATATTTGCTAACTCAACATCACCCTTCCAAAGGCTGATTTTAAGATCTTCCTTTTGTAACAGGAAATCAACCGACAATTTGCATTCAAAAGACGATGGCCAATGCAATTTACTAAAAAATATAAAGAGAGAGAGTTCTATGCTTCTAGGTCATGGCGGCGCATATTTTTTTAAGGGAAAAATTTATATAAGGATGCAACTTTATAATGTAGAATTACGGATGCACTTAAAAAATCCATCGAAAAAAAAAGTAGTTTTAATATTGAACAACCATTTGATTGATCATCCCAAACATGAAAAAGAAAAATATTTTAAGTTTAAAAATAATATATTTTACAATATATTATCTATATAGTCCATTTTCAAGATTTTTATATATTTATAGATCTATTTGATTTTAACTATTTTTAAAACTGTAAATTTTATAATTAGATATATAAATAATTTTTAAGATAATTTTAATATATTTTACATCAAAATTATATACCATGATAAAATTTGACAGTGCACCTTACGGATGCAGCCGTATGCCATTTTTTAAAGATAAGAGAAAGATGGAGTCTTATTTGTGGGCTGCCACGTTGCCATGGTGTGAGCTGTTGTAAGAGGGAAAGAACGTTGCCACGTTAAGTGAGAGAGTGTTGAGGGAGGCTTAGAGAGAGAGTGTCTGACGTGCAAAAGGTCAAGAGAGAGAATTTCAAGGAAATGGAACACCTTATCCAGGTGTCTTAAAAATGCTGTTGCTGCGGTGCAAGTTTTTCATGAGAAAAGCAAGGCCCTTAAAAAGCATAGAGTAGGGAAAGGTGGACGTAAGGCCCACTCAAATAAAATTGGACTATCATTTGCGTTTATTTTTTAACACTAAGAATATCACATTATTATTATTGATTAATATTAACAATATAAAATTAACAATATATTAATGATATATTTTAAAATTATTATTATTATTATTTTTTAATTTAAAAAATTTAGATCATCACAGGTAACTTTCTTGTACCAAAAGTAAATGGTCTTATTATATATATTTCTATATTATATACTTTTCTATAAGTAAAATATTACTTTCTTTTTTCAAAGCTATCTAACATATGCTCTCGAATACATATTCTCTAAGCTATGTAACATATGCTCTCGAACACATGTTGGGGAGAGATGCAGGTGTAGGTGATAGGAAATTAAATAATATTTTGTCAAAAAAAAATAGAAATTGCACATTATATAAGAAAGAATGAAAAACTTTATAGAAAAATATTATTTAATGGGTTGAAAACTTAAAATTATTTGACATCTTTAATGATTTTGTAAAACGTTTCAACGCATTAAATGATCTTTTTTCATACTTTATATCGCATAAAACCTTTGTACTATATATACAATGCATTTAAAAAACTCTACTAGAAATTATTGTGTCGACAATGGACAACTCTCAAATTGATCATCTCAACCTTGGTGTCTATCGATCCAAAAAAAAAAATGTAAATCTTAAGAATTGTGCATCATGTAGTACGTTATCTAGACTGTCATCATTATCATTCTCAAACCTTTTTCCAACTAATTGGGGTTGGCTATACAAATCCTAGTCTGCCATTTTGCTTTATTAAGAGTCATAGGTCCCTGTACATTTTCTCGCTACTTTCAACCATGTCTTTTTGAGTCTTACCATTTACCTATTTTGAGCCTACTACTTAAACTAATGCGCACCTCTTATCAAGAGTTGTACTAGGTTTGCGCCATACATGGCAAGCCCACCTAATTCTACACTCGTTTATCTTATAACGTATTGGTGCCACCAAATTTTTTTCGAATGTGTTCATTTTGAATTATATCATTTCTTGTCTTTCTACCCATTCATCTCAACATCCTCATCTCCGCTACATTCATTTTATTGGTATATTGGTTTTAACTGTCCAACATTCCGCCCTATAGAATAAAGCTGGTCTCACAGCTATCTCATAGACATCGCCCTTTAGCTTCATTGGTATGTAACAATTATATAAAATTCCGGTCGCACATCTCCACTTTGTTCATTCAACTCTAATTTTATGTGTGATATCGTCCTAAATCTCTTCATTTTTGTGGATTATTGACCTAAGGTATTGTAAGTACGCTCTTTGTTATATTTATTGACCGTCAATCCTAACTACTTCCTCGTCTCTACTCCTATTAGTACTAAACTTGCATTTCATATATTGTCTTAGTCCGATTAATTTATATTTTAAAAATTTGCAAGTATTTATGGATTTTTTTGGTCTACATTTATTTTGCAGCTTTAAGTTTTATAATTAGAAACAAAAAATATAATTTCACACTATTGCAAAGAGTTTTTTATACCAAAAACTGTATCTTTGATTAATTTAGAGGTTTCAGCTTTAAATTTTATAACTAGGGATAAAAATAAAATTTCATGCTATTCGTAGTTTTTGAATACCAAAACCATATCTTTGATTAATTTGGAGGTGCACCTTGCATTGAGATTGATGAAGAATTATACAAACCGGGCTAAAATATAGTAGAACTTGGAAAGTATCATGTGCCCTTCGAAATGTTATCATCAGGCTATTTTTGTAATATTTACAATAAAAAAAATAAAAAAATAAAAAAATAAAAAAATAAAACAATAAAAAAATAAAAAAATAAGAGAGGTTATCTTTGTAATATCTTGAGATTTGTGGCTGCAGAAGTTTCCTTAAAAAAAATAAAAAAACATAAAAATATAAACAAAAGAACCGACCTACCTGCACCACTCACGTGAAAAGAGGTCCCGAGGCATTTAGCGCCATACTGTTTTCACTGATTTTAAATATTTTTTCTAGTAAACAAACTGTAAACATCAATTAACAATTAACAGCTCCTAACTAATATTAAGTCAAATCACACCCTAAACTTAATAAGTAAATAAATAAAATTTGCACCCTAAAGTATGCCTCTCCTCCCTCATGCATTGCACCTATTTAGAAAGGATTCGGTTTCTATGCGATCAAGCCCGTAAAAATGTGGGCCTTTTAATAAATTTATTTTTGAAATAGATTTTTAGATTTAATTTTTAAAAACGTGTAATCTCTAACATAGAAATTATGAATATAAAAAAAAAAAATTTTAAAAACTAAAAAGAAATAGAGTAATGATATTGTGAGACCCTCTCACATTCACGTGAGTAGGATTTCAAAAGATCGTCATTAAATTTCCACACATATCCCTAAAAAACATATTTACCATACCTGTCATAACTTTTATTGGGATTTGTGTCAAAATTTAATGGTGATCTTTTAAGGTCCTAGTCACATGGGTGTGGAAGAGTCTCAATGTGTCATTTCTTAAATAATAATTTTAATAAAAAATATTTGGGCCGTTAGTTTCCATTGGTTTTAGATGAAACACCTGCTTGCATCCATCTTTAGGATGGATGCTTTAAACTTTCTTAACTGCATACGTAGAGATGCAATCCAGCCCACATAAAACTATTTTCTATTTAGAAATATTATTTGAACTATATAAGAATTGATTGTTTTTGAAAAAAATTGAATTTTGAATGTTGTGATATTTAGATCTAATACTTCAAAAATTTGACAATCTCTATTCAATTTTAAAATATTTTTTTCTAATATATAGTAAAGCTTATTACAAAAAATCTTTTACTAAGATTAGTTTATAGATAGTAGAGATTACATTCTCAAAATTTAATATTTAAAAGGTATTCCTGTAAATGGAGTAAATAGACAGTATACTTCTATGGAGTGGGAAATCTTTTGGCTTAATAAATTTATAGTTTATTATAATGATGATAAAAGAGTTTTATTTTTATTTTTTATTTTCTTATTTTTGTTGTCTAATAAAAAGGCATTTTCTTTCAAAGCTCAAAGCACCCAAACTCTCCTCTCACCACTGAAGGTCATCTCTCTCTCTGGTCTGCATCTGATAACTGGAATATCCAGTGCTTCTTTCTAGGAGCTTCCATGCAATTTGTGTTTAAGGTCCTGTACTTTTCATCTCCATTAATTGGGGGCGTGAGCTCCTTGTTTCCTTTCTGCATTTTCTCCTTTTATTTTCTCCTTTTATTTATTTATTTTATCATTGCTGGTTTCATTTCATTGCCCAGGACTGATATTGAGATATTGAGATCATAAGTTCTACTTTATTTATTTATTTTTTTCTTATGGAAATTAGGTTTTGGTTTTAAATAATTTTTGGAAGTTCTATATCGGAAAATTGCACGGTTTGTTATTTGGGGCATGGCATTAGTTTCATTGGGGTTACCTTCTTTTTGCGCAGTTTTCTTTTTCTTTTTTATTTGTCTTCATTTTCCATTTCTAACACATGCGCAGTCTCGTTCTCTTTGGGTATTATGCAAACCAGTAACAAATTTTTGTCATAGTTTTTTTTTTGACAATTAATATCCTTTCGTTAACGTTAAACCATGAATTGTTGCAGAATATTGAATCAAAGTGCCATCTCTCTCTATCTCTCATCATTCAACATGAATGGCTTCCTTTGTGACTTTTTTCGCAGAATTTAAATATTCTTATAATAATGGTCAAAGTATATTTAGAGCATTTAAGGATTTATAAGGGTGGGAACAAAAATACTTTCTTCATCACCACATCAATTTGCCAAGACTTTTTTGCCTTAAATAGTTATATTTCTATATATTATACACCTCTTTAATAAATATTGACCAGAGTATCCCTCTTTGCATCCCAATAATTCATTTTTTGTCACTGTTGAACAGTCTAGGGGTGCTCTGTTCACTTTGGAGTAAATAATGGTTCAAACTTAAAAGAGGAATTGAACCACAGAGAGAGAGAGAGAGAGAGAGAGAGAGAGAGTTAAAGATGCTTGCATTTCTTAGCTTTTCTGCAAACTGGGTGTTTTCTGAAATTCCAGTAGATTTCAATGACATTCTACAAACTTACCATGGGTAGATATGGGGTGGCTATGAATTCATGGTAATATCACGAACTTTGGTTTTTTGGGTAAAATATTACAACTTTGTTCATTTATTTATTTTGTTGAGTGATAATATCAAACTTCAGCATGGGCTTTTCACATTTTTTGTTTGTGAATATCAGGTTAACTAAGATATCAGCCACTAGTTTCACTCCTTTGTAGATATTCCTCGTCTTTTGATTTTTTTTGATTGAGTTATTTAGTTTCAGATGGACTGTTCGCGGTATGTCTATTCACAACGAACATCTGGTGTTTCTCTGTTCTGTTATTATATTGGACTGACATAAAGCAATGTTATCTAGAGCACCCATGCTACCATTAACCAGAGCAGTTATACTTTCCATATACATATTACATATAGATAACTGAGAGTCTTACCAACTGTTTCTCTATCTTATTTAGCTTTTTATATCTTTCCCTGCTGATCATTCAATTTGTCTTTTTATTTTTTTCCTACTTTTCTATCTCTTGTTTATCATTATACTTTCCCAGCTATTAATTCAACGTGTTTGAGATTCTTACCAACTATTTTCTGTTTTTTTTTTGTAAACAGTTATTCTTTGAATTGCATTAGCAAAAACCATGCTCCTAAGAAGCTCCTCCACCCCAATTCTGGGCTCCCTCCATTCTTCCTCATCAGATAGCCCCAAAACTTTTGAGACCAGTTCCAAGCCTTCTTGTTCTGATTCTTCGAAGAAACTCTTCTTCAATGGAGGCCACCCCGATTCCATCTCTCTCCAAGGTGTGAGAAGAACACTCTCAGATAGCAATCTGCATGGGCTTATATCCACTGATCTCGATACATTTCACAGCATAAACCCTACGAAAACACGGAATTTCCCTCACTCCAAACTCCAAACAATTCCTTCTTTCTCTTTCTACAACAAGAGAGATGAAACAGATGAAGCAGCAGAAGAAGAAAACGATGATGAAGAAGAAGAAAAAGAAGAAGATGAAGAGAGTGGGGTTCAGCTTAACAATTCAATACAGAGGACTGTTACCATTGGAGGTGATATCAAGCCACTAGAGAGAGATTTTAGCTTTTCGAAGGTGGGTCTGCAGAAGTTTGGAGAGTTGGGTCTTGTCGACGAGTTGGGTAGAGAGAGAATGAAGGATCCAAGTTCGTTAAGTGACACTGGGCCTCTATTTTTGGCAGTGGGGTTAGGCATAGAAGGGGTAATTCCTAATACTACAACTGCCATGGCTGGGGGGAGTGGTGTTGATAATTTTCAGAGAAGTGATGATGAAGGGACTGATCTTGAGAGGTATTACCAGAAGATGCTTGAAGAGATTCCTTGCAATCCTTTGATCCTGAGGAACTATGCTCAGTACCTGTACCAGGTAAGAAAGATCTCTTATTTTAGTCCTCTCTCGTGTGAGAATATCTCTTTTTTTCTTCACAAATTAGTCTTTTCTAGTGTGAGAAATCTCTCTCTCAATTTTGTGTTTACCATAGCTTTCTGTTCTATGGGTTCTGGGCCACCTTTCTTTTTTTTAGCATTGGTTTTTGTTTGCGGTTGGAGTGAGTAGTGACTAGTGTTACTAAATGTTACGAAGTGAGAATTTCATTTTTTTTGATCTTGTATCTCAATAAATTTTCAGTATTGCTTATTTTTCCATATGGGTTTTGTTGGTGGTTTACATATAAGGCCAGGTGATAATAATACATCATGTTTAACTTATCCTCTTATCTGGTGATTAGCTTTTTCTATTTTGAACTTTTTGATTCAGTTGTTTTTGGGTAACATATCAATGGAGAGTAATAAAATTCCTTTTTGTTTCACTGATTCCTTAATTCTTTCATTAACTTCTTGCTAGTTTATATCTGAAATAGCATTTATTTCAAGGGAAATTTACATATGGACTGGGTAATTTTACTGAAATTTCCCCTTGCTCCATAAGTTGAGGTTTTTTACGGTAGGTGTTACCTCCCTGAAAGTCAAATTTGTTCCTTGTCTGATGTTTAGAACATTGGATTGGTTGTTACGTTTGTTTATTTTTTGACTTTCATGGGGCGGTTTGACATAAAAAAAAATCGAATCTCCCCATTTGTAGGGCAGTGCAACCGCTCTCACTTCCATCACGCTGCAGTATATGGTGTGGTCTGATGTTTGAAACATCGGACTGTCCTTTGTTATGTGAAACAACAGAACAAACGGCGGTCCGATATTTCATCAATGGGTTTTTTGTTTCCTTGTGTGAAACTCGGGCTTAAAAGCCCCACTTTCGCCCCATTTTCCCTCACACTCTCTCCTATTCTCTCAATCTCTAGACTCTCACTCTTTCTCTCTCAAAGCTCCATCTTTCTCGCTCTCTCTCAAATTGTCAATCTCCCTCCATAAGCTCACTGTCTCCCTCTGCAAGCACCGTCTCTCTCTCTCTCTAAAGTGGTCGATCTCTCTCTGTACTCTCATTCTCTCTCTGCAGGCACCATCTCTCTTTCTCTGTCTCTCTCACAAAGTGCTCTCTACCTCCTCTCCCTGTACTCTTTCACCCTCTCTCTCATATCCCATTCTCGTTGACATCCCAAAAATTATGGAACTCTTCTTGCCCTAAATGTTCACCTCTAATCTCCCTTTCCATCTTGCCTCACGTTCCATCATCCCCCACACCTTCCTCTACCTGAGCTTTCATCAAAACCTAGATTTTTTTTCCTTCAATTTGTGAAGAAATGTTTTTGTGTTGTGCCTTGGGCAAGCGATTTCCGCGCCTAGCTGGAGCTTCAGATTGCCAAACGTATGTGTTATCTATTATTTGTTATATTTATTTTGCTTTTGTTAAGTTCTATTTTTAATTTAGAATTTCTTTTGGTTTATTGGCTGTAGAAGAGCATTTATTTGTATAATACATTAGTAAATTTGCAATTTCTCTAGATTTATTGGTTGTAGATAACGGTCCATTTGTAGGATGAATTAGATATGAAATCTACTATTATCATCAGAAGAAGGATTTTGTGGTATATTTAGTTGTAGTTTTGTTAAGATTTATTCAATTTCCGATGTCTTTAGACTTATTGGTTGTAGAAGTGGTTATATTTGTATTTTGCACCAGTTATGATATTGGAGTTCTGCATTAGTTATGATGTTTTGGGGTTTGCATTTGTGCATTAGTTTATTTGTATAATGCATATGTATGCATTAGTCATGATATTTGTGTAGTGCATTGATTAATCCTTAGATTTATGGGTTGTTGATCCTAGTTCCATTCAAAACCATAAATTCATAAAAAAAGTTTTTAGAATAAGACCCCTAAAACTCAATATGTTGATAGAGTGAAGACAGTATTTTGAAGAAAAATTTCATGTTTGTTGGGTAAGGTTTTTAACAGGTTACTTCTTGGTCTTGGTTGGAAATCTTATTGTTTCTTTTTTTTTTTTTCTTTTTGTTTGAATGAGTTAGATTAGTTTTTCATACTCTCTTGGAATTACCTAGACTGGATTTGAGTGTGAAATGGTGTTTGGAGAAGTTATATGGTTAGAATGTTGTTCCCTTTGATTTAGATTTGTGCCCATTCTATTGAGACATGCTTATATGTGATTGTCTTACCCTTATTTTAGATATTGGAGTTCTTAAATTATGCATTAGTGGTTGATGTGCTTTACTAATACACAATAGGAGTATTATCTGTGTTATTCACTATTGCAAACTGATCAATCCGAATATACTTCCGTTAGGATGGAAGTTAAATCAATTTCTTAGTTTTTTTGCCTTGAGATTCTAATGCATATAGTGAGATTGCTGCCATTTGTTGTTGAATTGCAGAACCCAAATTATGCATGCCTAGTCATTACTGGAATGTCTCACTTGTTTGTGCTCACTTAGTCTGCATCTCTGCCTTATTTTGATAAGCTCATCTTTCAGTGCACATGATCACCGGTTTGTGTCTAACTCAAGGTCATAGTTTCCCTTAAATATAGTGAAAGTAATTCGGTTGATGTTGACCCAAAAGAAAAAGAAACATACTTCAGGAAAGAAAGAGAGTAGAAAGAGCTGTTTATAAATTATCCGTATGTTGTGTATGACATTAAATGAATACCCTCCAGAGGGGAATTACAAAAAGTGGAGTTTATGTATAACCTTTCTGGAGATTGGAGGGCCCTATTATTTCTTGGAGTGGGATGCATCTATGTTGTAAAATTCATCCAAATGTTAGATTTGGCAATTATCCCCTGGGAACATATGTTATAATGGTGTTTCTCCATACGTGACAAAAAGTAACTTTAACTAAGTTATCTGCTTGATAAAATCTAATGCTTAAGTTGTGAGCTGTCGAGTGTAGAACTTTGGAGAAGTCTTGGGGTTGGGTTACCTGTGACATGCAAATTGCAACTATAGAACAATGCTACTTTTGTAACTCTTTCTGTACCCAAACATTGTATTATTTCTGCCACTGTGTGCCTTGCCAATTTGTACTAGCAGAATGTTGGTTCCACACTTTGGGATGTTGGAATTTTCAACCAATACTTAATCCCCTTTTTTGCCTACCTAAAAACATATGGGTTTTGAAGGTGCAAATCTGCTTACCAGTCACATGCATGTGCTATGATTATGCAAAATTTTACGAGTAGAAAGTGATGTACTTGAAGTATGAGAATTAGATTATATTGGTCTTGCGCATTTACTGCCTGTCAAAATATTCAACAAAAATTGTGAGGCAATCAGTAATACACTTGGTGAAGTATGATAATTAGATTATATTGTTCTTGCGGATTTACTGCTTGTCAAAATATTCAGCAAAATTTTTGAGGTACTCAACTGTTAGGCTCTTTTTGTGTTGCATGTAAAATGCCTAACATGTCAATTTAATGAATAATTTATTATTACATACTAGTTCATATATGTGTGCCTTGCCTAATTAACATACAACAATGGGTTGATGTGCTCATATTTGTCATTACATGGTAATTACTGACTAAGATGTCCAATTTGTGTATTTATACCTTCTGTCAAAAGTTCGTACTTTATGTCATTCTCTGTATTATTCAATCACCCAAGTTAGCCAGTCTTCCAAATTTGTGTGGATTTATGGATAAAATTTGTGCATAGTTCTGAGTGCAATATAGTATTCTTCCCTTAATATGCTTTCTAAAAAAAAGTCTGTTACAGTGTGATACATATACTATGGCTGACCCAGCAATTGACCAAGGAGTTAAGCCTGAGCTCTTGTACATGCAAAGCGATCGCGTCAATACCGATGTTTGGAAAGGAGTGGTAAATAACTCTATTGGAGCTCGACAATATCTACCTTCCTGATACCATTGCCAATATCTACCCTTATAGCAAGTGACATTCTATGCTGTTTCATGAAAATATTAATTGCCTCTGTTGCAGATTGGCAGAGTACAACGCACGTTGCAACACCTGGATTCAGCATTGGCTGCTGATGATTTGGGACCCAACACCTTAAAACACGTAATGGCTGCCCATTGGGAGCTGACCTTGCAGGCAGTAGAGGAGGAAGCAAAGCAAACGGGGTCTGGCTCTGACGAGCAAGTGCATGCAGCCAAGGAGGTCGCTAGGGAAGAGGTCTCCATGCCCGAGGCCGCGGAGGCAAATAAAGAGACCCCCATGCTTGAGCCTGTAGGGGAAGTTGGAGAGGAGCCACGATTCAATCTCCCACCGCGAAGGGGTCCAAGCACTATCCTACGCCGATCTGGCAAGCGTCCTAGCCGCCTTGATGAAGGGTCTAGTTATGGAATTCCGATTGCCTGAGCGAGGACAAAACAGTATATGCTGACACATCCAACAAAATAAGGGTCTAGTATTTATGTCTTTGGTATTTATTTGTAACTGAGGGTTGAAAATATGTTGTGTGATCGTTTTGTTCCCCAATTCAGATGTACTTGCTCATTGATCCTGATCCAATGTCATATGCTCATGCTAGGGCGTTCCTTGTAACGGCGCACCTGTACCAGCACCTTAGTGCAGCTAGAAATAAGCAAGGGATAGCTAGGACGTTCCCTAAAAGCTCCGTGCCGCAACGACTCCCCGTTGCAATGATAAGTACGCAAGGGTTCCTGTGCCATTTTGGATGAGCGCTGGTCAAGAATCTAGTCTAAGCGAATAGGATTCATCTAGCCGCATTGGAATGTCAGAGGTCTTAATAGGTAAAGAGTATAGAGTCGTGGATACAATGAGATGATGGAGAGTTAACATAGCTTGCTTGCAGGAAACTCAGTGAAAAGGGGTAAAAGCTAAGGAAATCGATGGATATAAACTTTGGTATACAAGAAAGGATAATAATAACAATGATGTAGGAATAATAGTAGACAAATATTTAAATGTTAAAGTAGTATATGCTAAGAGAGTAGGTAATAGGCTCCTTTTAATCGAACTTGTGTTAGGGGAGGTGTTGATAATTAATTTAATTAATGTTTATATTAGAGGATAGAATTAAAAAGACTATTCTGGGAGGACAGATGGACCAGTCCAAGGAGAACTAAATAGAGAGAAGATCTTTTTAGGAGGGTACTTAAAATGGTCACTCAGGATAAGATGGTAGAGAACAGAAAAAGGTACATTGAGGATGTGGATTTGGGGAAAGAAATGAGATGGGTAATGCTGTTCTTAACTTTGTTATGGCTTATGACCTAGCCATAGTAAACACCTACTTTAAAAAGTGAGATGAACATCTAATAATTTACAGAAGTAGATCATATATAAGTGAGATAGTCTTGTTTGTAGTTAATAAGACAATGATTATCATGTAAAGACGGTAAGGTTATCCTAGGAGTGTTTGACCATGCAACATATTCTCATGGTTATGGATGTTTGCATAAAGATGGAAGAGGAGTGAAATCAATAGGTCTCCAAGAACTAAAAAAGGGAGAAAATAGATTTGTTTAGGAATAAATTGACAAAAGAAGGAAAATATAATTCTAATGACGAAGTTCATGATATGTGAATGAGATGGCTGATTGTATTAAGAAAGTGGCAAAAGAAGTTTTAGGAGAATCTAGAGGAAAAGATATTCAGATGCGGAAACTTAGTGGTGGAGTGATATTTTAAAAGGCTATTAGCACCAAGCAATCATGTAACAAGGGCTTGACAGTGGAATAGAATGATTAAAACTCAAAAGAAAATAAAGATGCCAAGAAGATCGCGAAGAAAATAGTAACACTAATGTTAAAGCATATGATGATCTGTACAATAAATTGGGGGCAAGAAAAGGTGAAATAGACGTCTTCAAACTAGCAAAAATGAGGGAGGAAGTGTACAGATTTAGATCATGTTGAATGCATTAAGAGTGAGGATTAGAGGCTCTTGGTGAAGGATTAATAGGTCTACAAAAGGTGGAGAATTAATTTTAAAAAATTGTTAGGTGACGACCACTTTGGGAGTAGCATTAGGGGGAACTTTTGACATAAATGAAGTCAAAGGTCATAGATACATTCATAGGATTAGGATGTCTGAAGTGAATAAAGCGAATTAGGATGTCTAAAGTGAATAAAGCTTTGAGAAAGATGGAGATAGAAAAGACTTTAGGATTAGGTGGTTTGGAAGTGCATGAGAAAGATTGGCATATTCTGGTTGATCAAGTTGTTCAACATGAGTTTGAAATTAAAAAAAATGCAAGACGAATGGAGAAAAATACTATGTTAGCTATTTACAAGAACAAATGAGACGTAAAATTGTACAGACTATCTAGGGATTGAACTTATGAGCCACACTATGAAGCTGTGGAAGAGAGTAATTGAGCAACGACTAGAACCTGAAACAAGTATATCAGAAACTTAGTTTGGTTTTGTGTGAGGGAGGTAAACCAATAGGCTATTTTTGTACTTAGGTAATTGATTGAGAAGTTTAGGCAAAGCATACAATAGTGTACCTAAAGAGTAAATTTGGTGGGAGTTGAAAAAGAAAGGAGTCTTTGGAGGATATATTGACGTGGTGAAGAGATCTAGTGGAGAGAAGTGATTTTTCAGTGGCAGTAGACCGGTGTTTGGGATCAGTGTTGAGCCCATATCTCTTTGCATTGCCTATGGATAAGTTAACTAGGTATCTTCAGGAAGATGTATCATGTTGTATGTTATTTGCGGATGGCATAGCTTTGATTGATGAGACTAGCGATGGCATCAATGGAAGGTTAGAACTTCGGAGAGATATGCTCTGGAACTAAAGGTTCTAGAAGTAGCTGGACTAAGACGAAGTATGGAATGCAATTTTAGTAAGTATAGGAGCAGAAACGATGAATTAGTTAAGATGAATTAGTTAAGATTGATGGCCAGAAGTATCTAAAAGAGATTATTTTCGATATCTTGGTTGGATAATTCATGAGAATGGAGAGATTGATGAAGATATCACGCATAGAATTAGAGCTGGGTGGACGAGGTAGAGATGCCTTTGGAGTCTTATGTGTGTCCGCATGCCACTGAAACTAAAAGGGAATTTCTATAGGATAACTATGAGACTGGTTGTGATTTACAGGAATGATTGTTGAGCAGTTAAGAAACAACATTTCCATAAAATGAGTGTAGTTGGGATGAAAGAGTTGTGATGGATGAGTGGCAAGACGAGAAAGGATAGAATTTGGAGTGAGACGTTCAGGGGAACTTAGGGAGATAAGTGATAAGATGAGGGAAAATAGATTTACGTGGTCTAGCCATGTGGAGTATCTACTTACGGCAACATTGGTTAGGAGTGGCAATCTAGTTTAAGTGGAAGGCTTTAAAGGGCCAAGGAGGACCCAAAAAGACATGGATGGAAGTAGTGAGAGTAGATATGGTGACTTATGGTCTGATTGGAGGGTATGGCCCTTGATAGAGTGGAATTGCGGCAAAGGATTTGTATAGCCAAACCTCAAATAGTTGGGATAAGGCTCCGATGACGATGATGAATTCGGATGTACTTGCATTTTAACTTATTGCATGGTGCTTAATGTGATGAGTTGTGGTTTGCATTCACCGTATATATTCTTTTCTTCTTCTACTTTTTCATTCTCCTCTTCTTCTTCTTATTTTTTGGTAATGCATTATTATGTACCGGTGGTAGGATGAATATGTTTGATTAACACTTTATCAAGAATAATATGTTTGATTAGTCGTGGATACACCGGGTTTGATAAAGGGGCTCTCTTTGTCTATTTGACACTTCAGCCTTTTAGCGTTTAATGTATGTCATTTTTTTTTTTTGCTTGGAATATAACAATGGACGTTTGCATAGAATAGATGGAAGCAAGCCTTTTTTCTTTCTGCAGACATTGTTGCTCTGTTTAATATAGAATAACAACTGGTCTGATTTTGAAAATATTGGTCCGCTCTCTGTTTTGTGAAAGAACTGAACAAAGGGCAGATTAGATTGCTCTTTGTTATGTGTCATGCTTTTACAGAGGCTGGCCTAGTGCTTAAAACATCAGACCACTCTTTGTTCAGGAATGACACATAACAAAGAGCGGTCTGATGTTTAGAACATCAGATGGGTCTCTATATAAGCATGACACATAACAAAGAGCAGACCGATCCGGCCTTTGTTTAGTTCTTTCACAGAACAACGTTTCACATAACAACGAGTAGTCCGATGTTTTACAAAATTGGATTGGCCTCTGTATAGGCTTGCATAATAGAGGGTGGTTCGATGTTTAAAGCATGACATATAATAGAGGGTGCTCCGGTATTTCAAATGTCGGACTAATATAAAGGCAATTTTTTGTCAAGAAGTATAGGTTCCGATATTTGAATCATCAAACCGGCGCACAATAAATGTTTGCCAAGTATGGAGCGGTTCGATGTTTCAAACATGGACCGCACCATACACTGAAGTGTGACAGGTGTGAAACATTAGACCACTGTACAAATTGGGGTGATTCGATTTTTGTGATGTTGGACTGCCCTATGAAACTTAAAAAAAAAAAAACAAAAAAAAAAATTAACAAGCAACTTGATGTTCCAAGGGCAAAGTTGGAAAAATATAAAAAAAGTTTAGGGGGTTAGGACCTCTCTGTAAAAACTTGAACTTATGGACTTAAGGGGTAATTTTGGTAAAATTACCTGGTCGATTGTAAATTTCCCTTATTTTTATTGTTCTTCGTACTATTAATTTCTTACTTGATTATCTTGACTAAGAAAAAAGATGGTCTCTTTACTAATAGAAAACTGATGTGGATTTTGTTCATGGGCAGGCCAGTAAATCAATAGTGAGTTTGACAATGCATGATTTTGTTAATTTACTTGTTCATCTAAATTTTAAAAGGTCCATTTATGAAGGGTATTCCTGTCATATAACTTCCTGCTATTAAAATTTCGTATCGTTTCTTTCTGGTATTTGAACTTCTCTCTTATGGTTGGCAGATCAAGGGAGACCATCACAGAGCAGAGGAGTTTTATTCAAGAGCCATACTTTCAGAGCCTGGAGATGGTGAGGTTCTCTCTCAATATGCTAGACTGATATGGGACCTTCATCATGATCGAGAAAGGGCATCAAGCTACTTCGAACAAGCAGTACAGGCTGCTCCTTCTGATAGGTGAGCTCTGAGACAATCATTTTGAATTTGTTTGTCATATTTCTCCCTTGAGATATGTGCGTACACACTCAACATACATACATACATATTACTTTTAATTGGGGTTATTCCCGTTGTATCTCTTAAACATGATTTTTGGTTTTGTTGGGCAGCCATGTGCTTGCCGCACATGCAAGCTTCCTGTGGGATATCGATGAGGATGATGAAGAGGACAATAAAAAACAAGAGTTTGTTGAAGTTCCAATGTTTCACGGAGCAGTTGCAGAAGCAACTGCTTGATTGTGATATATTTGTGTCTCGTAGTAACTGATCATGGTCTTGCTTACTCTACCTCTGCCACTTAAATTCGGGTTTGTTTTATAGTTTACATTAAATTCTGGTCTATGATCAAGTCTTTTCTTGTGCATGAAAGTAGGACTGCGTAACCTGGGCAAGTGTATACCGATTAAAATTTGTCGATCTTTTCTATATTTTGACCTCCTGGATTACTTACAAATAGTCCAAATACATCATGAGAAACAAAAAAAAACATAAAGAATCCCAAGAACTCACTTGCTGCCATTTCAACAATTCTTTTATTATACAAACAAAATTGCATAAACTTGATCTTTGGGAGCATGAAACACGTAACTGTATAAACAAAAAATAAATTGCTGGAAGATTACCTCAACTGGATTTTGCACATTCCACTCTGGGTCTTCTCTTCCGTTGGCCCACAGGATCAAAGTCTTTATCAAATATTTAAAGTATGGGAAACCTTAGGCTATCAACCCTTTCAAATCAGACTGCAATGGTGGAACCATAAGCAATACTAGGCCTCAATGCCTAAGCAGGGTAGACTAGATCTCAATATCTGGCATGGTAGATTAGGTCTCAATACCTAGTATGGGGCGTGCCTGCACTTGACACTTTGCTTGGGGGTGTGCCCCTTATTTTTTACCCCAAAATAATTCTAAGTGAGGGAGGCTTAGAGAGAGATGAGAGATCAAAGAGGGTGAGAGGGTGTGTGCCACTTTTAGAGGTAGAGAGAGAGAGAGCTCTTGAGGTGTAGAGAATAGGATTCCCCATGGTGCCTACTTATAAACTTTCTCTAGGGTTAGGGTTTCTTAGGGTTAGCCATCATTATGGAGAATAGATTCAGATCATTGAACATATGAGACCTGTGGAGTGAGAGATTTTAGCCATACAATCCTTAGATTAGCGATTATGATTAAAATGAAGGTGTTAGAACTTTATCCTTCAGCTTCCTTAACCTAGTCCCATCAAATAAAATTTATATAAATTATAAAAAATATATCATACTTTCCCGTCTCTTTTATAATTATCTTACACATGCGTACTTTTTTAAAATGATATCTTTTTAATTTTTCAAACCTTCTTATCTTGTTGCACTTGAGTGAGTTCCGTTTGATGGCCTCAACCCAAAATTAGGAAGTTTATGCTTAAAATTGGGGAGTCCCTCTCATGGGGCCTTATGGGGGCCCCACGCACCACCCACATGTGTATTTCATGGTGGGCTCTGTAATTCATGGTGGGCCCCAATATATTATGGTTTATAAATATAAAATTAATTTTAATATAAAAATTAATTTTTAAAAAATATTTATTATTTTATTTTTCTCTCTGTATATTTAAAGTACTAAAAATTCAACATCTCTTTATTTATCAATCCATTTTGAGAAAATAAAATATCCAGAGATTTCTAAAAATTGAAACTATCAATCTAAAAATTATTTAACATCAAAATAATTAATTCTAAATAATTTTAATGGGATTTAGATCCAACTAGGTCAAGGAATTATTAATTTGCTGAAGCGTTACATCTTCTACTGTATACTATAATCCACTCTCACTTTTTCAAACTGACCTAGCAGTTCCCATATCCCACAGACCGTCGCAGGGGTTCATGATTGAGCTACTAAAGTCAACCAATAGGTGGAGACACAATCCAAGCCTATGGATTACAAGTTCTCCCCTAAAGACAAGTCCATGGTTGGACAGACCTGGTGCAATTACAACTTTATGGTGCATAGGGTCATCTTTCGCATAGGTACGCATATTACCCTCAATGGTGACTCTTTCTCAATACGACTATTACATGTACATGTCGATGGTTCAATGATGAGGCTTTGACCCTCATCTCTACAAGCCTACCCTCACATACAAGGGTCACACAGTCCTTTGGCTCACGACCCTGGGCAAATTCGACTTCATTGAGGGATAACCCTGCTAACCCTCCTCGATTGTGCTCAATGGCCAGGTAATTAAGGGTTTTCCAACTCAACTGGCCTAACACGTTAAGCCTAGTCTGAGCATCGACAAATGACATTTGCATATCTCGGTCCCTCTGGACCATACTCTCACTGGAATTCATTGTTCCACTATATCAAAGATTGATTACGAGCTCTCATAAGGCCTTTAATGGCCACAAATACCTAACATCTCCCACTTTGCGTATGAAGGCCTTACATCTCTCTTCCTCACTCTCATCCTTTCAATACAATCTCTTTCTCAAGCATTTCTCACTTATTCTCTCTCACGCTCATTGTATATCCTGCCTTTGGCGAAATTTTTATTCATCGATCTCTTCTCTAAGGGTTCATGGATGTAACCTCTATGGGAATCATGAAGTCTCTTTCTCTTTGCTGCTTGGATCGCATTCCAAATGCGATCGTAGTCCATCTTTTTATGCCGCATTGCGAATTATGGACTTGTTGTCGCTGAAGATCATCACGTCCCCTCATCGCATGGGATCATATCTCAGTAGCACAAGGGAGTTCTCTAATTATGTTGCTCCCCTTTTGTAGCCAATCAACCAATGTCACATCACATATCCGGGTTCCATTGTGGGCAAGCTGGTCCTCCAAAACCACGCAGGGGTTCCATTGTGGGCATGCTGGTCCTCCAAACCCACTCAGGTACTCCCAGTGGAATGTTTAGTTATCTGAATAATTAATTTTTTATAACAGAATACTGATATATCTGAATTTCTAAGTTGCTAAACAATCTTAGTATTGTAGCAACTCCCAATCAAACATAACAAATATAAAATATATTTTCTCGACATACTCACGCCGATGTTATGAGCTAGTACAACAAGTTTCATGGAAGAATAACTCGATGCGCATTGGTTTCGCAATATGGAAACCCTTTATGAGCCACAAGGGTTCAACCACTTTAGTCTCTTGGTTGTAAATCCATACAAACCAAGTTATCTTATCCACACAACATGCGTCAAGGAGGCTTAACTAGACGGCCTACCTATGACATCCCCTATTGTTCATGGTCTTAGGTAATCGAGGATTCTAAAGAACTCAAAAAACTGGTCACATAATCGGTACTATAAAACATGCATCAAGATATATGGGTATTTAAAACCATAGTTACCGAAATCTCTCCACCGACCTCACGTTTCCGGTTCTGAAACCCGATTCCACGTTTCCGTTAAGGAATCTCCACGGAAACTGTTTTTCGGAACCAAGGAAACTTGATTTCTTTATTTCGGAATCTCAATTCGACACATCTTTAGATACCATTTTTTGGAACCAAGGAAACTCAATTCTTTAATTTTAGAATCTCGATTCAGCACATCTTTAGAAACCATTTATCGGAACCAAGGAAACTCGATTCTTTAATTTCGGAATCTCGATCCAACACATCTTTAGAAACTTAAACTCATTAATTGTGGGTAGACGTTCCCAAATATATCGAATCTGGATTCCAGCGAGGATTAAATCTTTATTCCACATCAATTGCAGTAGAAATATTCCTTCAAATGCTTCTAGTGGTTGCAGGGTTTCATTATTTTACTTGTGCCCCCATGGATCGCCTTTACTTTAAATTTAAAATATAACTGGTAAATTCAACGCATACAATTAAAAGTATAACCATGGCATAGACATAATCCTAATTTATCTTTATAATAATGAAGTCAAAATCACAATTGAGAAATACTTGTGTTTTGTATATAATGGCCGTAAGTTCAGTAGTCAACACAATCACTTTAAAATTTGGGAACCTTCTAATAAGAAACATCCAATATAGGTTCTAAAGTTGATGAGGCTCAAGATGTACTCGTCGCTTTCTTCTCCATAAAAACGAAATCTCGATTCTTGGTAGGGGTCGTTAAATGCATTCCATAGTCCATATTATCGTAAATCTCGATCTCAAATTGGCATGGATCTCTGATCCATATACTTCAAAAACTTGATTCCAAATACGTTAGAATCACCATTCGAAATATCAACATATCTTTGTTCCACATATGTCAGAAACTCGATTCCATAGATGCTAGAAACTCGATTCCGCATAGTAAGGAGTCTTGACTCCTGGAGTGTCGATTCCAAGGGGATGGGAATCTCAATTCCAAGGAGGATGGAACCTCGATTCTATATGTGGATGAAACTTGGATCTATTTCAGTCGAAACACGATTCTCAAAAATTAGGATTCTCGTTTTTAGCGATTCCTATTGTATGGACAACGATTCCTAAGATAGGAATCTTCAATCCGGTCGTGATTCCGCGATTCTGGTTCCTAAAACAATTCGGATTCCCAGGCGTTTCAAACAACTATGTTTAAAATTAATATATAGATAAAAAGATAATTTCTCCTAGGTTTATAAAATACTTTCAAGACTCAATGTTTTGCTGTTTTATGAAAACTCTTGACTAGATATATTTTCACAAGCAATAGTTAGAAAATAGCAAGGCGGTTTAGAATGATTTTCCATAAAGACTTAGTGGACCTTACAAGACTATGGGGTTTTGGCAAAACCATATCCAGAGACCTAGGTTTTTAAACATAAATGGTCCAATCTGATTTCAAAAGATCATGCTCAGCCTTTAAAAATCATTTTACCATATAGACCTTTAATTATTTATCAAGTCATGCTATGGATGCAAAACAAATCATAAAATCCATTTATGATTTTATCCAAAGCAAAACACAACTAAAGGGTGGTTATCAAAATCCGACAACTATCCAAAATACACATTT